TTCTAGCTGGCCCACAGGGCTCCTAAAAAGTTTAGAAAATTAATATTCATCTGCCCCTGACTGCCTGTCATGGGGCCCTCAATGGCCTGCCAAAACTCAGTTAGCGGCCCTCCACCCAAAATAATTGCCCATCCCTGGGTTAGGACTTCCAAATATCTCCTATTAGCACTCTGCTTTGTATAAATTATTAAATATTCACTGGATTGAGAACTGGAAGCCAGTGTCCCGCCTCTAAATAGGATCTCGTAATTACCAAACTAAAAAGTCATACAGACCTCGTTCCAGCTTCTTTTGTTTCAGTCCTGTTTACAGGACCTCTCCTTCTTTTGCCTTCTTCCCATATCATCCCAGACCTTCTAAATGAAACAGACCCCTACCCAAGCCATGCTCCTGCCTCCTAGCTGTGCTCTGACCACTCACCTCATCCCTCCCCTCCCAATATGCTGACCAGAGCCATGGTGAATGGTTAGGTAAATAAATTGCCAGAATAAATAGATAAAAAGAATGCTAGTAAAAGAAAATGCTCTTGCGTTGTATTCTGTAAATTTGAATTCCAGGATTTATTCCACATAATCTCATGTCATACACCTGCTCAGGAGCTCTTTGCTCACATGCTCCTAAATGTTGATCGCTCAATTTATTTCAGACCATAAGGAGGCACAGTGACGAAAATAGGCATATATATTTTTTTAAGGAAAAACATCTGTTGACTATTTAATTAATCACACTATAACAATTCTAATTATGCAGAATTAAGGGTCAAAATCCGATTTTAGGTTTTAAGGTAAATGCTAATTGTTTCTACCATTGCACAGCACTGCACAGTTACTTAGGAATATTATTTGTGGTTTAGGGGATTTTTGTTTTTGTCCTTTTCAAATTTATCAGATACTGGCCACTGCTGGAAGAAAGGATACTGTCGCTGAACTTTATTAATTAACAGTCTCATCTGGAATGGCAAAGCCTATTGAAAACTAGACATAGCAGAGAACATGGGGTGAACACTATGGAATTTCTATGAACTACTGAGACTCTGAGCTCATCTTCTTTCCCTTCTGCCTATATATGCATCCAGTACAGGGCCTGTCTACACAGTAGGAACATCAGGTTTCATGGGACTGAACATTCCTCACCTACCCAAGTACAACCAACATGCTCCAGAGCCAGAGTTCATAAGCAAGGATACCCTGACCACTTTTGCAATGCCCACTCTGAGGTTGCTGGAGATCAAGGGCCTGAAAGCAGGCACTGATGATGAGTCTAAAGTAGCCCTAGTAGTGAACTTCTACCTCTGAAGCATGTCAGCAGTCATGGGTAAGTGAGACATGCTCAGCTATATATGCCCCAGGACATGCTGCCACTACATTATAAATGATCTATAGTGATAAATATAGTAAGAACAGCAACAGGCCTGCTGCACTAGCTTATCTAGAATTACGAATTGAGGGTTCAGAAACATACAAGACTTTAAATTCCAGATTCCAGGTGCTTTTAAAAACTCCATGAAGAACCAGATTTGCAACAGTAATCTGATTTTTACAAAGCCATTCCATATTGTGTCTAAATTTAAAAGCACAGCAGTGATTTACTACAGATTTTCATCCTTGCTTTAAAACTAGAGTATGTGCAAATGGCTCGAAACAAAAGCTAACCCATCTGAGGTACCACAAACTGCATATGGTGCATGTACACGCATTCATCTTGCTGCTAATTTGCAGTATGGTGGGTCTTTTTGACACTGGGAGCACTTACACACATGCGGGGAACCTGCTCTGATGTGTTGGAAATCCAGTGTGTCAGAGCAGACTGCACTAATTAAGTCTGCTGGAGCACATAAATGATGCGCTCTGACAGCCTTGCGTGTCACATGTATCAGTGGCACAGCATGCCTCTGCACTGAGAAAATGGTGGTGGTGTGCTTTGAACTAATACACGTTCAATGTGCTTTAATTCAAAGTGCGCTATCACCATTTTCTCAGCGTGGAGTTGTGCTACACCGCTGATACATATGATGCACAGATGCTTTTAATTAGCATGGCTTGCTAATTAAAAATGTGCTTCTGATGCAGCGATGGACACGTAAAAATGCCCTGGGAGACCCTTGGGTCAAAAAGCCATCACTAAAAAAAGCCGAGTGGTCCACACAGCAGCAATGTGTGCCACCAGAAAGGGAACCTGATAGGCCAGAGCCACGCTCTGGCTGCCATTCAGGCTCTGAGTGACTGGTTTGGCACTGCTGCTGCCCTGGCAGGCCCCCAGGACCCCAGGTAAGGCTGCTGGGGTCCCCTACTCCTAGCCTCCCCTACTCCACCTGGTTCAATTTGCTGTGCACCACAGCACACATGCAGGAGCATGCCCAGGAACAAATAGGAGAAGCACAAATATGTTCTGCTTCTATCTGTCCCATGGAAAATGCATGCCCCTGAATGTGCACATTCATTGGGATGCACCTAGTGAGTTTCAGTGAGACCAGAGAGCTTCACAGCTGCAGCCCCCAAGCTCGCTTGCTCTGAGGGGCCCAATACTTTTTTCTCTGGAGCTCAGGTGGCTCCTGCCACCCTGCACCCCACTGGTTGGTGCCTGATTCTTTTTTTTTGCTCAAGCTCAGATGCTGCCCACCTTCCATGCCACTGCTGACAGAAGCAGAGCCAGTCTAGGTGGCCATGGGAGGTACTATGGCCACCAGACACTGGAGCTGCAATGCTTGCTCTGCCTGACATCCCCAGGAGGTGAAGTGCAGTGCCTGGCTCCACTCACCCTGAGTCAGGAGGAGGCACTACATTCTGGGATACTGGAGGAATTCAACTTGGGTGGAATATCTGTGGGAAGTGGCCACATGGTAACAGGAACAAAATTAGGCAGATTGAAAATTATTTTTCCTGGAGTGGCATAACTTTAAGCCAAATAATGAATGTTTTAAGCCACTTAAAAAGTGTTATGTTAACATGCAGCTAGTCTAGGGGTTAAGAACTCCAGAGGCCACCTAAACTTGTTGTGTAACAAGGCTCTTCAATGGAGCACCCTACCGACAAGCAAACAATGTTAGCAGGTAAAGTAGTATAGCTGACAGATTATCTGCTGGAATTCAGTGAAGCTTTATTTAAATCACCCATGTTAATGTATTATTCCATAATACCATGAGACTTCTAAACAGCCTTTACACCAGTAATTAAGAATTGGTGATTAGTACTAAGATCAAAGTTTTGGGTTTGGGTTGCTTCAGTGAATGGGAGATGATTTATTATTCTTATCTGCTCCCAACTAAATCATTCAGTCCTAATTATTTTTTTGCTTCCCCAAAGATTTTCATATCAAAAGATATAAAATTAATAAAAAATATACATTTGCATCCTGCCTTCATTAAATTATATAAAAGTACCCTAGATCTTTCAATATCGAAAGTGTTACATAAGTTACATTACATTATTGTTTTTGGAATTATTTTTTAAAAATAAGTTAATGTTTTTGATTATTCTCATAGTCCTTTAACACAATATTTCAAATAAAGGTACTAGTATTGTTGTAATTTATTTAGACTTCTGTAAAATATTTGAATTTGGCATCACACATTTTGCTTAAGAAACTAGGAAAATAGCAAATCAATAGGATACATATTAAATGGATTAAAAACTAACAGGTCTCAACATGTAATTGTAAATAGGTACTCTTCATTGATTGTGTAGGGTTCTGGAAGGATCCTTCAGGCATAAGTTTATAGATTCATAGATTGCGAGGCTGGAAGGGACCTCGGAAGATCATTGGGTCCAGCCCCCTGCACCAGGCAGGAAAGACAACTGGGGTCAGGTGACCTCAGTGAGGTGATCGTCCAGTTTCCTCTTGAAGATTTCCAAGGTAGGTGATTGCACCACCTCTGGAGGGAGCTTATTCCACAGTCTGGGCTCCCTACCTGTGAAGAATTTTTTCCTAATGTTGAGCCTGAAATGGTCTTCCAGGAGGTTGTGGCCATTACTCCTTGTTTTTCCCAAGGGTGCCCTGGTGAACAGTTGCTCACTGAGCCCTTGATGTATTCCCCTGATGTAGTGCTAAGCTGCTACCAAGTCCCCTCTCAGCCTTCTCTTTTTGAGGCTGAGGAGTCCCGGGTACCTCAGCCTTTTCTCATATGACTTGCCATGCAAGTCTCTGATCATACAGGTGGCCCTTCTCTGGCTCTGTCAAGCTTTAATGCATCCTTGTTAAAGTGTGGTGCCCAGAACTGGATGCAGTCCTCTGGCTGCGGTCTCACCAATGCTGAGTAGAGTCACTTCCTTGGTTTTGCTGGAGATGCATCGGTTGATGCATGCCAGAGTATTATTTGCCCTGCTGGCTACAGCATCGCACTGCCGGCTCATCTTCATACTGTAATCTATTATTACTCCCAGGTCCCAGGTTCTTGACATAAGCTATTTAATATTTTTAGTCAAGATCTGGAAGAAAATCAAATCATTATTGATAAAGTTTGCAGTTGACACAAATTTAATGGGAGTGATAATTAAGCAAAACATATCAATCACCATTGTATATATAAAAACAAAGAATTTAGGGTCTTCTTAAAAGATTGGAGACTGAAAAGGACTTTGTGGACATGGACAATAATTAGGTGAACAAGAGCTCTCAGGGCAATGTTGTAGTCAAAACAGTTAATGAAAACCTTGGATGTAAACACAGAGGACTACCGCACAGAAGCAGGTAGGATCCAGTTTCCATATTTAGCGCTGAAGTCACCAAAAAGGGAATACTGTGTCCAGTTCTGGTGGTGTTCAAAGTTCTAGAAGAGAATTCAGGAAATTCAGGAAAATCCTATGGCCTGCATTATACAGAAGATCAAACTAGATAATAGCAACCATCTTTTCTGGCCTTATCATCTGTCAATTTATAAAACTCAGCTCTTAATAACTGCTATTATCCATTGCCATATTCTAAAAAAACCTTATTTTCTTAAACCATATTAAAAATACATATGCTTAAGCACATATCAAAGCAGAAATATTAAAATTGCTTACCACATGAAGAATTTTATTTTCTGTTTCATACACTGTGCAATCCTACAGTAAAAAAGAAAAGAAAAGAAAGAATTTATGCATATATCAATTAAATTTCCCTTTTTTCTATACATATATAAAATATAGTTTACAGTGTTACAATATTTCTCTCTCATTTCATACATATATGTATATAGATGAGTAATATTTCCAAGTTGTATATGAATATCTAACAGTTAATCTGATAACATTTAATGCAACAATATCTACTTAACTTTACAAAGCTATTTTTCAAGTTATATCAATAAAACTCTTGCCTTCAGTAACAGCAGGTGTGTGTGTGTGCACATTCACATTTCATTATATTTCACAATGCCACATACCATAGTGAGTTGTATTGTTTGGATACTAGCATATATCCCATCTCAATGTATCTTAACAGATTTCTGTCAGACAAAGCAAGATGAAGAACAGCCTCATGTAACTGATACTATATTAATAGTCTCAACTTCCCAAATTACCATATATGCCCAAATCCAAGATGACTGAATGTAAGACAATACTCCCCCACAAATCATTAGACTCTATATATGGAAAATTTGTAAATTTATTATAATTTTCCATGTATTATTGGGGGGTCACTATAAATCCACCTCTCTCCCCCACCTGCTGCAGTGAGGAAGGCAGTGGCAGGGAAGCATGTGGTAAGGGTAGTAGGTGGCCTCCTTGCTCCCCCTGCAGTCTGCCCTCCACCTGTGGTGCCTGAACCCTATACTGCCTCCTCCCCATGTCTGTGGCCCCTGGCACATAGCTCACTGCCATGCCTGTGCCATTGTTGCTGCATGTCCTGTCTGCCCTCAGCAGCCTCTGCCCTCCTGCTTGCTCCCCACAGCTTCTACCCCCACACCTGACCTCCCCACATTTTCTGCCCCCTACATCCTCTGCCCCCCCCGGCTGCTCTTCATAGCCTCTGCACCCGCTAGCCCACTGCAGTCTATGCCCTGGCATGTCCCCTGCGGCCTCTGCCCCCTGCCTTCTCCCTGCAGCCTTTGCCCCTTTTCACCTCTGCAACTGCCTGCCTCCACAGCTTCTGCTTCCTTCCCTTCCACAGCTTACTATCAGTTGTGGCTCCATTCCCTACCCAGGGCATGGATCACATGGAAGCTGAAGACCCTGCCTAGCTGCATAGTAGCATCCCAGGGACAGAGCTGCCACTGCTGCTTGGCTGGGCAGGTGCTGGAGTTTCCATAGACTCTGTACCAGGTGGGAATGAAGCCAGAGTTGCACCTAACAGTAAGCAGTGAACGGTTGCAGGGGGAGAGGGGACACAGTTCATGGGCGACAGGCAGGAGGCAAAAGCTATGGGAAACAGGTTGGGAGTGGGGGGTCAGACAGCTGCTGCAACTCTTGACTGTGGCCCCAATCCAGCCACTCTTCCCCCTTCTGATCTGCCTTGAACTCAAATCCAAGATAAGGGGCTTTTCCCCTAATGTTGAGTGGGGAAAAACACCATGTCTCGGATTGAAGAAAATACAGTATTTCTAAATGTATCAATTTGTTCATGTAGTTTTCAGAAGAAGAGCAAGATTGTTCAATCTTTTCCTTAGCAAGAACTGTAATTTCAACCAAGTTCCCTCATGGGCAGTTCTTTGCAGCCCACAGCAAGCATGTGATCTGAAATTTAGGCAAAGTGGATGATAAAGAAATATTATATTGTTGGCATTATCTATCTATCTATCTATCTATCTATGGTATAACTTTTAGAGAGTATAAATGGTTTTTAGCCTATTGCTCACAACTGAAACTTTGGCTCCAGTAAAAGAGAATATCTATATGCAAATTAATTTGTTCTTCCAAATCAAATGCTCTGTCTTGTATCAAGTAGGTATATATTAAAACTGTTTGAACAATTTGTGTTTTGCAGAGGAAATGCTTATGAAGACAAAACTGTAGGCGGACATTCAGATGATACACAGAGGATAGCTTGAAGATGTTCCCCCTAAAAGTCAAAAAGTATCACAAATCAAATGGTATAAGTTGGTCTCATCATTTTTGTTCTGGAAAACAACAATTAAAAAACTTTACTTCAAGATAATGCAATAAAAATAAATGTTCCTGGGTTTGTAATGGTTTTTTAGAGAAAAATATAATTTTTCAAGGCTTGCTGAAAACAGCAACAAAAAGGACTTTTTTATATTTCTTATTGATAGTTGTTTTAATATAAACTGGGACTTCACCACTATCTTAACAACTTAACAATAAGACAAGTAGTACCTAATAGTGCCTGTTAGGCCCCCTCCAGATGTTATTTTTATAATACTATAACATTTGTAGCACTATAGGCAGCAAGAGTAATAGAGCTCCTTTGCTCGCTGCCTTCTTGCCCCACAGGGACTGGGGTTGTTCTAGGCATCTGCCCAGGAACTTTAAACACGCACATGGTCACAGCTGGCTACTCTCCTCCCCTTCCTTCACCTGGGGGGTGGGGGGACAGTGGGATTGTGGAGGGTAGGGACCTAGGCAGATGTTAAATTTGCCTTGGCATGACAAAGAAGTGCTGTGTGAATCAGAAAATTCCTGTAACATCTGGCAAGTTACCATTTGTTTCAGGAAAACTGCATATGTAACATCTGGAGGTGGCCTTAGATGGGACATAGGAGTGGACAACACTGTCAACTTTAATGAGAAGGGGTTAAACTTGTAAATATCCACAATGGCTACAGCATATTTTATTTTCTTGGATAGAGAAGTTACATATAGGAGGAGAATAGTTGTGATCAGGGATCCGGGTTTTCTGTTTGCGACAGAAAAAAGCAGTAAAACCCAGATTTTCTCATTTTAAGGAGAAAAACACAGGAAAGCGTGGGTTACTGCGGGGAAAAAACAGGAAATGGCGGGTTTCCCCTTGCAGGCTGGCAGAGTTTTAGTCTGCAAGGGGCTGGGGGGAATGGGATGAGGGAGATCTGGTAGGGGGTGCCATGTGCATGTGCACATATACACATGCACATGGTTGCCATGCAGCCTGGAGAGCAGTCCCCCACAGTTAAGTTGAGGGTGGGGATTGAGGCCCCTATAGTGAGGGAGGGAGGGAGTTGGGCAGGGCTGGACCTGGGGCTGGGGCTGGGGCTAATGCCCAGCTGGGGCAGTGCATAGGGCTTGGGACCCAGGGCCAGAATGCACAGCTTCAGGGTCCGGGTGGGGAGTGGGACGGGGCTGCAGGTGGTTCATCCAGAGTGGGTACAGGGGCTGGCTCCCAGCTGATGTGCGCACTCCCAGGGGTAATGGGAGGCACATGCTCCCCAGATATGTGCACAGGGCAGAGCCAGTCTGCCTACTGTGGGTTCAGGCTCCCTGCCCTGCTGTCCTCCCCACGGGGTCTTGGCAGCTCAGTGGGCAGGACCCTGCTCTGCAGGGCAGAGTGGGGCCAGAAAGCTTGCTGCTGCCACTGTGAGCCCTGCACTGCCATGGCAAGGTGTGCAGCATCAGACGTGGAAGCACAGAGTTGTGCTGCCACCCCTTGCTGCTACTGGGTGGACAGAGGGTGCTTCGCTATGGCAGTGTGGGGCTCGCGATGGTGGCATTGAACGTTCCCACCCGGCCCTGGTCTGCCCTGCCATGCTGGGTCTCACCTGCTGGGCCACGGAAGCCCTGTGGGGAGGGCAGCAGGGTGAGGAGCACACCTGCTCTGCTCTGATGGGCTGTGCCCTCTACAGGGGAGGGGGATACGGGCTCTGTGCTCCACCTGCTGCAGCAGCTGCTGCCTCCCACATATTGTAGTCAGGTCTCTGGCACTGCTGTGGGGAGCAGGGGGCTGCAGACCTGGGTTCTTGGCCCCCTAGCAGCTGGGCACCCCGGCTGTGGGGGGCTGTGGGTGTGGAGTGAGGGCACCAGCAGGGTCCAGGGGGGCTGTGGGTGGGGAACAAGGAGCACCAGCAGTGCTGGGGGACTATGGTTTGGGAGTAAGGGGTCTGGACTTGCATCCTGGTGAGTGAAGGGGACAGGGTGGGGTTCTGATTTTCCATGCTAAAAAATCCAAAGTCAAATGCCAAAAATTACAAATATTTAGAATTAATTTTATTATAGTGATTGAGGCACTGATAGGCTTCCAAATTGCTTTAAAATGGTAAATGTAGCAGGACACTAAGGTACCTGCTACTGAGAGAGCCTGGAAGGCTCCTCAGGTGCTGGTTGCCAGGGCAGTGGGAGGCAGCAAATGACCCACACCTGCCAGCGGTCAGCTAGCTATAAGGGGTAAGGCCTGGCTCTTATGGGGAGGGGAGCTGAGGTCAGAGGTAGTTCTCTACTGGTATCCAAGGCAGAAAGAGCTCCCTACCAGCAGCCAGAGAGAGAAGCTCCTGGAGCAATGATGTGAGGAGAAGCTTGACTGCAGATACCGCTAGCAGGGTAAAGGGTAGCAGCTCCAAGATGTCCGAGCAATGTCATTACTGCCAGATGGCTTAGGTTTAAGTTGTAGCCAAGAGGCTTGAGTTTATGTTGCAGTTTGTTTAACACTGGTGGTTTGGGTGAGCCTATAAGGGGATGGAGGAGGCCTCATAGGGGACTCACGGTAGAGTGAGGACCCCAGTCCCAGTGAGGGCATGAAGTTTGGGGGTACAGACCCCAGCTCCAAAGCAGAGCCCGTGAGAGAGGGCAGCCTTGCAGAGGGAAGAGCCCGTGAGAGAGGGCAGCACTATGGAGAAGGCCCCAGTGTGGGCGCGGAGAAGCCCCAGTGAGAAGGGCAGCATTACGGAGAAGCCCCAGTGAGAAGGGCAGCAGTACAGAGAAGGCCTAGTGAGAAGGGTGGCATACAGAGAAGGCCTGCAAGGCTTAGATACGCAGGACACCCGGAGCAAGAGAACTGTGGCCAAGTGGAGGAGAGGTAGCCTCCCTATAAAAAACACATATCATCAAAGTTGTGGTGGGCGAGAACAGGAGGGTGCAAGTCCGAAGCTTGGCACAGTAGAGGAGGCGGCAAGGGCTAGCACGGCGACCCTGCCGTCCCTCCTGTTACAGTAAATATATCAATAAAACATGGTGTTCAACTATATAGACACAAAACACAC